GCGCACTCTCTCCCTTGCTCTCTCTCTCCGGGTTTCTCTCTCCCTCTCTCTCTCTCGACAGTTTGACCGAGAATCACCAAAGAAAAAAAATGAAAAACAGAGAAATTGAGGGAGACAAAGCTCGAGCAACTGATTTCAGGTAAAACCCTTTGAAACCCACTCTTTGATTCAAATTTTAAGCTTGAGAAAGTTTGATTTTGGTTAGATTTGAATAATTTTGAGTTAGGGTTTGAGTTTGAACAGTTATTGTTGGAATTGAATGAAATTTGGGGGTTTTTAGTTATTGGACTTGTTAATTGATTAGAAACTGATTTTGATGGATTCTGGAGAATATATATTGAAATTGAACTTGAATTGCAGGTTTGGCATTTTTCCTATTTATGTCGGCATGCTGCCGAAATTTCTTTAGAAATTTGTTTTTAAACTAAAATTAAATAAGAAAACCAAACCTATGGATTGGATTCTAATTTTTAAAGAACCCCCAAACTGAATTATAAAATCATTGTGAAACTTGGATTTGAGTCAAGGCACACTAATAGGAAACAATTAAACATGATTGAACTTAATTCGTTTTAGGAATGAGAAATACTTCCTAAGATATTGCTTTTGTGATAAAGCTAGTGGAGAATGTCAAGTATTAAGGCTTTAAGGAAAGCGGAGGCTAGGAGAATTGAAGGCTAGCCCAGGTTTGAAATCCGAGAGGTAGGATATTCTTGTCCATATCCTTGTTAGCCTCATTTTAAATTATTTTGGGCAATGAAAATGTTTTAGAACAAAACATGTTTAAAGAAAATGATTTTAAAGAAATAGCATGAGAATGCTGTTAAGTTTTTTCAATGATTTTGGAAATGAGATTTCAAAGCGTATCATTTCTTAAAATGAATATCTTAAGCAATGATACAAAGCATAGTGACCTCAGAGATCGGGATGTGGGAATCGCATCCTTGGGGGCAGGTCCCGAAACCCATAGAATTATGGCTCTGCACTTTTCATTAGACAGACATTTTTACCGCTTCATGTTTAGTGGTATGATGAGCTGGACACTTTCATTATACAGACATATTCTATTATGTGAGTATTTCCTTTTTTCTAAAAAAAGGATGATCGGTTCTGGGTGTATATCTTCGGACCGTGAGTACCTTTATTTTAAATGCTTTATAAAATTATATCATACCGGGCCTTTCGCTCACTTTTCTCTGTTTTTAAATGTATTAAACCCCTCTAGGCGACGCCAGAAGTAGTGCGGAGTATGTAGCTACTACCGGCGACGTGGATTTGTTTCAAGAAAGCGAAGAGTTATATTTCCTCGTATCCCTTATCTCAAGGCATGTATAAAAGATTATGGATTGTAAACTTAAATATTACTAGACTGTGGTTGATGTCACATTTACTCATGTTTATATTCATGTATGCTAAACACCTGTGAGAATTCCTGACATGATACCAGGGATGTGGTTTTAAACTGGTTTGGTTGGAAATTCCACCACTGTTCTTGAAATTAAATTTCTCTTGAATGCAGGGGCTTGTTTGGAAATACCTGGATGTTTTGAATTTGAAAAAAAAAATTAAAAAAATTATAATGTTTGTAACATTATTTGCTAATCACTCTCTTAAACAGGTTTAAGTTTCTAAATAAGCCTCCACATCACTAACCCCGGTTTGGGGGCGTGACACCTCCCCTCGCGAATTACTCTCTCGATTTCATCCTTGAGGTCGGCGTAATCGTTGGTGTGGTGGCCAACATCGCCGTGGAACCTATAGAATTTCTTCTAGTTCCTTCGGCTGGGATCTGTCCTTATCGGCTCTGGGCGGCGCAGCAGATTTCTGCGGCCGACCTGATTGAACACCTCCTCGACTCCTACTGTTAGTTCGTGGTAGGAATCGTACCTTTGAAACAGCCGAGGCTTACGGTTCTCCTCTTGCCTTGGCTTCTTGGTTTCCGGAGCGCTCGACATCGCAGCTGGCTGCTTGTCTTCGCTTCCTCTGCCTCGACGCTTCTTCCCATCCTGCTTTGCTGGCGTCGACCCTTGTTTGGTCCCTTAGTTCTTGTTGGACCTGTGCTCGGGGTCGTTTGTGTCTGCCTCTTCGGCGTTGATGTATCCTTGTGCTCGCACAAGAAATTCCTTGTAGCTGGACAGAGGCTTTCGGTTCAGCTCTCTCTTGAAGGGGGTAATTTTCTTCATGCTAGATAATGCCCATATCAAGGCCTCTCTGTCAGTTATATCCATCGTGGCGGCGACAGCTTCCTCATACCTCGCAAGTCATTCTCTCAATGACTCGTTCGGCTTCTGGTATATCGTCGTCAGGTTCTGCTTTGGGGGGACATATTTTTTAACCCCTATGAATTGGAGGGAAAATGCTTCCTTCAACTCATCCCAACTTAAGATAGAATTTGGCCTCAGCGTCCGAAACCATCTCCGGACAGAATCCATTAAATGGTTCCGGAAGGCTCGGCACATAATTTCCTCGGCATACCTGTGTAAGAGCATGTGCCCCGTGTACATTTCTAAATGATCGTCGGGATCCCCTCGACCGTCATATGGTGAGATCGATGGCGACCTATATTTGTCGGGAAGAGGTGGCGCCATTATCTCTTCGGTAAATGGGTAATCATGTGTGTGGCTAGGTGTGATGTCGACGTTTACCACCTCAGTCACCCGCCCTATGTTCTTTTTTAAGCCTGCTACGTCCCTTGTGAGTTTTTGCTCCAGGCTGGCCATACGTTCCATGATGGTGCGTGCTTCCTCTGTTGAGATGGCCGAACCAACTACTCTCAACGCCTCTGCCCTTTGACCGTTGGGTCCGCCTCTTGCCTGCCCGCCCGCTTGTATTGACCCTGAGTCTCCCGGTGGGTTTCTTCCTGGGTTTGGGGGTAGTATCTCGGGGTTTCCCCGGCCTCTTGGTATCTGGTCCTCGGGAGCCCGGAGTCTAGAGGCCCTTAAACGGCCGCCGGAGGATTGGGAAGGTCGGGGCCTAGGCTGGCCCCTTTGATTCTCACTATCCCCGATTTCTTCTAAGATATGTGGGCGGTCACCAGGGTTAAGGTTTTCAGCCATGCAGGTTCCAGCAGCCTCGGGGCGTCTTCTAAAGGTGACATAGAGTTTCTCTCATCCAAGCGTTCAACCACGGTTATTAGTTCACGTACCAGATCGGTTAAAGTGGCTAGTTGGGCCTACATCTGCACAGGATCCGGCCGCGGCGCATCTAGGGGCGAGACTTCGTTTCTGACCGGGGGTGGAACCTCCTCCACCCCGTCATTCACCGGATGAGTGGCGGTCTCGTCCATCTGGATTCCTTGGTTGATGGCCTCAATTCTTCTTCTTGGAGGCATGCTTGCTGACTATGTTGTTGTTGGGGGTCAAACGCGTTCGCTGCCCAGCGGAGTCGCCAATTGTTGACGGTGAATTTTCGTCAACAAAAACAGGCCGGGTTACCTCTAGGTTTCCCGTCGGATTACCAGCTTTAATATAGGTTTTATGTAAGAGTTTTGTACCGAAGGTGTTTGATGTTTTTAGAGGGATGGGCAATTTGAAAGAATAATACTCTAAAGTAAAGGAGCACAAAGAGATTTTATAGTGGTTCACTCTATAAAATCAGAGCTACATCTACTGTGGTTGTATATTCTTTTTTAGATGATTACAATTTACATCAATTGCTCTCTTGCTCTTTTTCCCCTTTTTTTTTTTTTACGTGAACCTCTTTTGCATGGGGCTTTGCCTCTTTTATATTTAGAGCTTCCTTCGCTGGGTGGGTTTCCTTTGTAGGTAGAAGCACTCGAGTGCTCTTCCTTTTTAGACCCAGATGTAGCCCACTAATCACTTGGAGTACTGTTCACTCAGCCAATTAGTCTCCTATTACGGCTCTGTGCGTACCTGTAACCCTTTTCTGTCCCCCGTGGGGCGGTTTAAGGGTTTGCAATTAATGCATGCATTGAAGACATCCCTCATTACTGTACACAACTTGCCATGTCAGGCTTTCCCCCAAGGAGCATTCTCCTCGTCGCCAGTGTTGTTTAGCCCAATTGTCCTTCTTGGCGGTGGATTTTATGGCGAGGGATTTCTATGTTGTAAGGTCGACGGTACATCCTGTCGACGCCAGATGAAATCATCGCCCCAAGTTGGACTTCCTGTTTGGGCTCTTCGCGACGGAATAGAAGGGAGTCTCAGACGTCGAGGGTTGTTGCTTTGCGAGGAAAAGTTAGGGCCACATGTCATATTGTCATTCCTCCACGCGTCCTCCATATTTTCCCCCACAACACCTATTATATTAAAATGAAAGTTCTATAGGACTGCAATCCGCCCAACTATGTTATATGGTAGTAAACGTTGGGCCATTAAGAGAACATATATGTAAGATGAGTGTTGCAGAAATGCGTATGTTAAGATAGATGAGTGGCCATACGAGAATGGATCGCTTAAGGAATGAAGTTATTCGTAATAAAGTAGGTGTAGCACCAATAGATGATAAGGTGCGTGAAGGTTGCTTGAGGTGGTACAGACATGTCCAACGTAGACTGCTAGAAGCACCAGTTCGTGCTTGGGAGGACATTCTTATACCTAATACTAGAAGATCGAAGGGTAGGCCAATAATTACGTGGACTGAAATAGTTAGAAATGACATTCTAGATCTAGGCCTTCACGAAAGTCTAATTTTGAACAAAGCTACGTAAAAAAGTGAAATCCACATAACCGACCCCAATTAAGATGGGATTAAGGCTTGTTATTGTTGTTGTGTTTTATTGGACCAATTAGACTTACAGAAACATGCCCAAGAGATCTGTTTTATCCTCGACAAGCTAGAAAAATAACTCATGAAAAACTGAAGAGGCGTGCACTTTGCAAATGGAAAAGATACCAGCATCAAGTTTTATCTAAAATACTTGTTTTGCAATTAGCATTTGAATATGATCCCAGGTCCCCATTATCTTTGCAGAAAATAACAACATTAACGCGTTGTTTGATTCAAAAGACTAAAACAAGAAATTAACTAGGATAAATCCTACATAAATATGATTTAGGGATAAAAAATTGTTTCTTCTCCTAGCAAATGAATAAATCATTTTTGAGATGCACTCACAAACAACCCCTAACAGAAAGATGAGCCTAACACTTGATAAACAGAAAAACAACCGAACCAGTTCATTAATTCCTCAGAGATGACGCTATATAACAGCTAATCACTACTACGAGTTCATTCAGAAGGAAATACTTTTCTACCCTATGCAAGCTAACAGATTAATTTCCAACGCTACAATTACTAGGATTCTCACTTCCTCTTTTTTGAGGGTGGCTGGGGAGTCTCTTCATCCTCATCCTCATCCTCATCTTCCTCCTCATCCTCTCCCTCCTCATCCTCATCCTCATCGCCATCATCATCATCCTCATCCTCATCATCATCATCACTTCCATCACCGTTGGCTTCGGGATCATCCTCAGGATCCGCTTCTTCCTCCCCTTCTTCACCCGAGAAGTCCTCATCACCTCCGTCGTCAACAGGATCATTAGCGTCGTCTTCGTCGTCGTCGTCGTCGTCATCCTCCGTCTCACTAAAATCTTTGTTTTCTTGAACAGGCCGTTTCAATTTGTGAAGTTCTTCAAAAGGAAACCTATAAAGGAAACCACCAACCACATTAATCACATATCTCCTCGTCGCTGAGTACCAAATAAAGCGCATTTTAGATTTAATACCTTCCATCAATTGCCGTTAGTTTTGATGACACGTTGACGCCATTCAACAGTGAACCAATCTGAAAAACAGCTTAATTTCGTCATGGTAAGAGAGGCGTATAAGCAACAAATGAGAAAGCGATAAAAATAACTAAAACCTTTTCCGTATTCAATAAGTCCAGCTCAGATCCCCTCTATTGCAGAGACAACTTAAGTAATCCCTTAGTACATCAATTTCAAATTATTTGTACTCAAAACACAATCATGCTGACTCAAGTAATTGAAGGAAATTAAATGCAAAACATCCAAAGGATCAAATGTCAACACAAGACCAATATTGCATGAAAATTCTAATTTGCCAAGATCTCCATATACAAGAAAACCAAATAACGGATCTGGCTAACAGATTGAATTGGTTCAGCTCAGAAGATAATTTGAACTCTGAACAAACTTAATGAACTAAGAGAACTTCGATAATGATTGCTGCCAACACCAAAGTAAAGCAAAATATTTACATCCTCCACTCCCCCCCAATCAAAAGGAACAAGTGAAAAAAATAAAAAAGATACGAAGCATACAGTCGATGCAAATTTGTTTCCAATAGAGCAAACATGGAAGAACAATATTTTCAGAATGTTCCTAGAAAGGAAGAGAGCTGCGCAACTCTCTCGTTGCAACCATTAATTGCAGCCTGGCAAAGAAAAATCCACCCTAGTTATAGGAATGGAGCTTCAATCAATGGAATGAAAAACACATTTTACATAATCGATAGAGCTCACATAACAATCTCCATGGAGCATCAAGAAACCGTCCAAAGACCACATGAGAGAAAAAAAACAGAGACAATTATGCACAGGGGAGGACTACATCGAAAAAACATCTATCACAGGCACAACTAGAATCCAAAAGCGGTTAGCCCTAGAGAGCGTAAAACTTATAAGCGCAGAAAAACTACACTCTTTGCCATCAAAACCTCATAAAATTACACAACAATAGAATAAAATTAGTATGGAGTTTACCCAGAAAAGGAGAGAAAAAAGATAATATACAAACAAACCAAATGAACAATTCTATGATACCACATTATACTAAAACCGCACAAAGATTACCATTTTCTAAACCCCATTTCAAGTAAAAAACCTAAAACAAAGAAAAATCTACCTATAACCTCAAAACCTAGAGTAAAAGCTATAAGCTTCAGAACATAAACCTTGTAAAATTCTAGAAAATCTCAACAGTTGTTAGACAAACAAACAATAGCACACATAAACAGAGATAAGAATTTGCAGAACCAGTTAAAAGGATATTCAGTACCGAAACCGCACATACCACCAACTAGAGGAAATAGGTCAATGTGTTGCAAGAACGCTTTTTCAACAAGCATGTCACTTTTCTGTTAAAGCCTAAAATGTAAATTCAATACAACAATTCTTAATCACTAATGTCTTGCGCAAGGAAAATAAAAGAAAATAAGCATTTACCGTCATGAGAAGCAGAGCAAGGGAGTTCCCAGCGGCGAGAACAGACTCAACCACCATAGCTTCCAAGACAGACCTCATCTCTCCAGGGAAGCACAAACCCACCTCCATTGCTGCAAAAATGAAGCTCAAAACACACAAAAACACAATAACAAACACAGGAAAAAAAAAATTAAAGAAAAATAACTGCACAAAAGATATAAGAAAGAAAGAAGAGAGAGAAACAGAGAGTGAAGGGTCTCTGAGTTTGTGGAAAATGGTTTTGGTCCGGTTCGGTAAAACCCAGAGAGCGATTCGGTCCGGTTAGGATTTTTGTGGGATAATTTACTAGCGCCAGAGCAGATTTCTCTACGCGCAAGAAACAGGTTAGACTCTGAAATCTGATGGGTTGTTTTTTTAAAATGTAATTTGAATGTAATTTTTTAGTTGAATTTGAGTTATAATTTAAGTTAAAGTTATGATTTAAATAAATTTAAAATTTAAAATAACATAAATTTAAATAAATTTGAATTTTGAATTTTTTTTTTTTTTAATTTTTTAAACAAAAAACAGGCCATGAATTTTTTATTAGTTGAGCAGTCTTGAAATTAGTAAAACTTTGTCATGGACTTAGAGTTTTGTTTTTTAAAAAATAAATAAATAAATAAAATCTGTTCGTAAGTATGATTGGAATCACCTGCATCACGGTCTACTTAATTACCTTATTGAATCCATTAAAAAAAAAACACTCAAAAAGATGTCTTATTTACATTTATACCATTTAATGACATCAATTTAAATCTTTATATCTTTACTGTATATTTTCATTAGCAAAATTTACATATTTACTACTCAATTAATACTCCTACTAGGTTATTTTTTCTTCTCTATAAAGATGATTTAGTTTTCGGAGAGTACTTTAGTAGAATATAAAAATAACAAAGATAACGAGAAATTAAGGTCTCGTTAATTTCACCGATTCAAGTTTTCAGTTTTAAAATGTTCTCAGAAAATGTCACATTTAACTTTTTCTGCTATAGTGAAAATGTAACGCCCTATAGAATTAAACATATTTAATTATGTTAATTGTGTATATTAGTGTGCCTAAAATTAATTTTTTCTGATTAATCTTGTGATTAAAGATTAAGTTTTCGAGTTATTATAAAGAGTTCTAAATTACTTTCAGTTTTTCAATTTTCACCTTAAAAGTTTTTAAAAATACACTTAATTTTAATGTATTTTTATTTATTTATTTATTTCTTTTTTCTATTTCTTTTTTTTTCTTTCTTTCTTTTCCTTTTCTTTTCTTTCTTTTCTTTTTCTTTTTTTCCCCTTCCTCCTGTGGCTGCCCAGACACAGCCCAGCCCCTCTCTCTCTCTTTCTTTTTCTTTTTCTTCTTCCTTCTCTGGTTCTCTCACGCCGCCCATCTCCCTCTCTTTCTTCCTTCACGCCTGCTACTTTCTCCGGGATCTCTCTCCCGCCGGTTGTCTCTCTCTCTCTCTCTCCCTTTTCGGCCGTTTCTCCCTCTATCTGTTCTCTCTCTTGGCTGGCTGGCCGAGAGCCTCAGGAAAAAAAAAACGAACGAAAATGGGAGAAACTGAGGGAGACAAAGCTCCATCAACTGATTTAAGGTAAAACCCTTTGAAACCCACTCTTTGATTCGAATTTTAAGCTTGAGAAAGTTTGATTTTGGTTAGATTTGAATAATTTTAATTTAGGGTTTGGATTTGAACAATTGTTGATGAAATTGATTGAAATTTAGGGGTTTTCAGTTATTGGACTTGTTTAGTTGATTGGAAACTGATTTTGATGGATTCTGGAGAATATATTTTGAAATTGAACTTGAATTGCAGGTTTGGCATTTTTCCTATTTATGCCGACATGCTGTCGAAATTTCTTTAAAAAGTTGTTTTTAAGCTGAAATTAAATAGGAAACCAAACTCATGGATTGGATTTCAATCTTTAAAGAACCCTCAAACTGATTATAAAATCGTTTGTGAAATTGGATTTGAGTCAAGGCACACTAATAAGAAACAATTAAACATGATTGAGCTTAATTCGTTTTAGGAATGAGAAATATGTCCTAAGATATTGCTTTTGTGATAAAGCTAGTGGAGAAGGTCAAGTATTAAAGCTTTCAGGAAAACGGAGGCTAGCCTAGGTTTGACATCCAAGAGGTAGATATTCTTATCCATATCCTTGTTAGCCTCACTTTAAATGATTTTGACCCATAAAAATGTTTTAGAACAAAACATGTTTAAAGAAAATGATTTCAAAGGAATAGCATGAGAATGCTATTAAGTTTTCCAATGATTTTGGAAATGAGATTTTAAAGAGTATCATTTCTTAAAATGGAATACTTTAAGGAATGATACAACGCATGGTGGCCTCAGAGATTGGGATGTGAGAATCGCATCCTTGGGGGCAGGTCTCGAATCCCGTACGGATCCACTTCTTGTTAGTGGAATTATGGCTCTGCACTTTTCACTAGACAGACATTTTACCGCTCCTTGTTCAGTGGTATGATGAGCTGCACACTTTCATTATATAGATATTTTCTACTATGTGAGTATTTCCTTTCCTAAAAAGGATGATCGGTTCCGGGTGTATGTCTTCAGACCGTGAGTACCTTTATTTAAAATGTTTTATAAAATTATATCCTACTGGGCCTTCCGCTCACTTTTATTATGTTTTCAATGTTTTAAACCCCTCCTCCAGAGTTAGCGGTTTAGATTTGCAGCGTGACAAGTGGATGCCAATGGATTGAAGATGTGAGATTCGAAGCGGTACGTTTGTTTTGGATTTACGATTTTAAATTCTGAGATGTACTGTATTTCTGTATGCAAACTGTATTGGTCGACATTATCCCTGAGTTGTACTATTTTTCTTGGACTTAATGGACTATTTTAAATATTATTTGTGAAAGAAAGTCTCCGGAGCAAACTATATTGATATTTATGTAATTATTTTTTGATTTGGTTAAACAGTCCAGTTTAATTAAGTTAAATTTTAAAATAATCACGGCCCTATCCTTGGGGTCGTGACAGTTTTTGCTATCAGAGCACGGCTTCGAATGTTGGGAATGGTGTCCTAGATGCATGAGATGTAATAGGATATTTATTATTTATTTAATAAAAGAGTTTATTCATTATTTTATGTGCATATATTTATGAATATTTTATGAATATCAATGAAAATTCC